TGTCAGCAGACTGCAAAATATGGGGCATGCATTGTGCAAAGTTGAAAAAGGAAATCAAGAAGGGATGTGGGTAGTCCATTCCTACAGTAGTCTTTCTTAAATTAAAAAAAAATTCCATTCTCAGTAGGTTTAACTCTCAGTGTCCCCTTTTTTGAACAGGCATTTCCCCCCCTCAATGAATATCCTGGAAATACACCTATTTGTTTGAATTTCATTTGATTTGAGATACAAGTATCCTATATTAAGTTAGATATGGATTTTGAACCTGAAACCTAAACATATAATTATTATACTTTGGCCTAATAGGTCTGGCAGAGAGTGAGAGGAGGATGGGAGATGGATCACCAGTGGATTCGACTTCTAGCAGAAATGCCAACATCTCTGGGCAGCATTTTCTTACCTCCTTTCCCCCAAACTTGATAGTCACCACCTGTTCATGATGACAATCCTGACTTAGTTAATCCTCTCTATATACTGGATCAGAGGTTAAAACCATCAACTCTGGCCCTTTATGGAGAAAGATTTCTTCCTTTGTGATTCCTCTCTATAGGAGCTGTAGAGACAAAGACACTGTCTCTCATTACCTGGGATCTACCTGTCTCATGAATCACAGAGAATGGGTGCCAACTGTCTGGACTCACACCCTTATGTGCAGCTATCCATGTGATCCAGAGGCTGTCCAAAATCCCCTGATCCAGGAGATTGAGGAAGCAGAAGAACACAGAAACCCACCTGGTTAGATACCGACATGAAGAGCCCAGGAGATAGTATAACTGTGGTGCAGGGCAGACGTTAAGCAAAACAATGGGGGTATAAGATTCATCCTCCCTGCTGGGATAGTGGGAGCTGTATTTAATGAAAACTAATCTCAATACATCAAACTGCCTCCCACTCTCACATAACAGGAGTCAAAGAGAACTACCTGCAACATCAGAGGAGTTGCACCTTTGCTGACTAAGCAGTATTAAAGGTTCACTTTCTTTATTAACACAAAGAAAACCTGGCCAAGAGCAACAAATTAAAAAATATTAGTGATACATACCCCTGGTTGGAAGAAGGAAGGAAGGAAGGATGAAAGGAAGAAAGAAATCAAGGAAGAAAAATATCATAGGTCCCAGAAGCTAAAAAATCCTAAAGCCAGGTCACCAAACAAGAGCTGAGACCAGAAAACCATGGAGGCATGGATAGGAACACAGTGTTGGAGGCTGGGATCATGGAGCTTTAATGCCCAAGGCAGGATTTGAGGCTCCACAGAAAGCAGGGAATGCACACAGAGGGCCCTGCAAGAATGTTAGATGCTGAAATGGAATATTTATGAAAATAAGACAAGGAAAACTCTGCCCAACATACCAAATAGCTTCAAGAAAATCTGCCATAAAGGTTTCTGGGATGAAATCACCTCACCAAGTCTTGTGCACATATGGCATCCAAATAAAAAGTATATATATAAAAGAGAAGAACTTCAAATAAAAGGATTAACTTAAAAACTTCCTGGATTTGTGAAACTCCTAAGATTCTATGAGAATCAAACCTAAAATTAGCCCTAACCAATTTGGCTCAGTGGATAGAGCAACGGCCTGCAGGTTCAATTCCAGTCAAGGGCATGTATCTTGGTTGCAGGCACATCCCCAGTAGGGGGTATGCAGGAGGCAGCTGATAGATGTTTCTCTTTCATCGATGGAGAGTTTCTAACTCTCTATCCCTCTCCCTCCCTCTCTGTAAAAAAATCAATAAAATATATTGTGTTAGCCTTTGAGTTTGACATGCTTGATCTAGCGCAGTGATGGCGAACCTTTTGAGCTTGGCGTGTCAGCATTTTGAAAAACCTAGCGTAACACTGGTGCCATGTCACATATAGAAATTTTTTGATATTTGCAACCATAGTAAAACAAAGACTTATATTTTTGATATTTATTTTATATATTTAAATGCCATTTAGCAAAGAAAAATCAACCAAAAAAATGAGTTTGCTTGTCACCTCTGACACGCGTGTCATAGGTTCGCTATCACTGATCTAGGGAGATGTCCATAAACCCAACTTATAAGTTTCCTATATATATCAAAGAATCCCCATCCCCCAATAACACTCACACACTGAAATTATATAGTTGCCCACGAATTAGAAATTACATGATAATAGATTAGAAATGAAAATTATAATATTTGGTGTTAAGAGCTTAGCATATCAGTTAAATAGCAGAGTCAACCTGTCCAAAGAAATAAACAGCAAAATGAAATGCAGGTCTGATTACATCATATGGAACACAACAAGGTAAGATAAAAATTTGGAAAATATGAATCAGAAATTAAAAGACATGGAGGATACAGCAAAGTGAAAAGGTTCAACACACATCTAATCTGAGCTTTAGTGGGACAGCATGGGAGAGAAAAAATATGCCAAGAGACATCACTGAAAATTTGTCAGAATTTAAAAGACATCACTGAAAATTTGTCAGGCTGAAGGAATTCACTGAGACAGAGGCTGCATAAATAAAAACAGATCTACACCGGAAAACGCCATTATAATAAAACTCAGCAAAGAAAAACCGGAAATAATAAAAGCCACCACAAATAAATGGACTACTTTTATTTCAGAATGTGGGACACCAAGGATCTGAGATGAAAGTTTTTATTTTATTTTAATTTATTTATTTTCTTTATTATTGACACTATTACAGATTCCCCCATTTTCTCTGCCTTTGCCCACCTCCATCCAGCCCCTACCTCACTTCCTTCTGGCCATCACCACATAGTTGTCTGTGTCTATGGATTATGCATATATGTTCTTTGACTAACCCCTTCACCTTCTTTCATCCAGTCTCCCAATCCCTCTCCCCACTGACAACTGTCAGTCTCTATTTTGTTTGTCAGTTTATTTTATTCATTAGATTCCACATATAAGTGAGATCACGTGGTATTTGTCTTCCTCTGACTGGCTTATTTCACTTAGCATAATATTCTGTGAGATGAAACTGTTGCTGCTTACTCCCCTTTTTTCTGTTAAGAGATCCAAAAGAGAAAGCAGAAGAGAGAATTAAACGATTTTCTCTGTCTCTTGTGCTCTCCATTACTAGAGCCTTCATTCCCCAGTTTCCTCTCAGTCAGGCACAAGGGCTGGCTTATGGCACCAACCATCCCTGTTCTGATTTGCAGGGTGTGCTGGTGGTGATGCTTATCTTCTCTGTGCTGGAGCACTTACTAGCTGCATATGCTTCTGTCTTTTGGTGGAAACAGGTCTACTCCAGCAACCCTGGGGTGAGTACTCCGACGTGTCACATGATGCCTGCTGGGTCCCAAGATTTGAGTTATGATGATCCAGTGCTGGGTATATATGGAAGGCAACTTTTATAGTGAGACAAGAGTTCAATTAAAGGGCTCCTTCATGATGACACGCTGGTCATCAAAGACCAGCTGATGCCTAGTGCGTAGCAAACCAGTTAGAGAATTACTTAAGATGAAGCTAGAATACCAATTAGAGAATTACTTAAGATGAAGCTAGAATCAACTGACCCAGTTCCTTATTAAAAAACCAAGGCTTGGATAAGTCACACAGAGAATGAATGATACAGACTAATGAGCTGAGACTGAGAACTTGCATCTCCTCACTCTTGTCACGGACAGCCACCTGCCTCCCTAGCCCAGTTCCCTTGTGAATGTGATGAGATTTACTAGGACATCTCTGTCCCACTTATGCTTTCCTGTGTTCTTCCTTACTTCTTCTTAGGTCTTGACATTATAATTTTAAATTTAAATGGGACCCAAATCCTTTTTAAAAAAATATATTTTTATTGATTTCAGAGCGGAAGGAAGAGGGAGAGAGAGAGAGAGACATCAATGATGAGAGAGAATCATTGATAGGCTGCCTCCTGCATGCCCCCTACTGGGGATCAAGCCTACAACCCAGGCATATGTCCTTGACCAGAATCGAACCTGCGACCCTTCAGTCCGCAGGCTGATGCTCTAGTCACTGAGCCAAGCCTGCTAGGGCTGGGACCCAAATCTTTGAAAGCTGTAGTAAAAATGAGAGAGAAATATTTAAGAGGATTGAACAAATTATGATTCAATTATGATCTTATCAAAAAATGACAACATTATTAGAAGATTGAAGAATGGCATTTGTTTGAACTAATATTGTTGCAATTATATATTATAGGAAAGTTGGGAGAGCTAGTACTCTACAACATTTGGGGGAAATGCATTATAAATATGTATTTAAAAAGTCTCAAAATCAGAGTTTTAAAACTATTAACAATTTTGATCTTTCCTAGAGTTCATTTTCCTTGCCTCAGTCACAAGATCATATCAAACATGTCAAAGACTTCTTCAAGGGTATGGCTATGAGTAACTGTTGGATGTAGAGGAAAAAGGAAGGAGAAATCCAGTGTTCATGACAAAGTGTGATTAGGCTTTCCTGAAATTTCAGCTACTCTAGACTGTGGAAGAAACTTTTTAAAAAATAGCCTTTGTTTTTATTTTGTCCATATGAGTAATTTTATTGCTCTTATAATTTCCCAAGAGCCCAGGTCAGTAAAATTTTATTAACCTGTCTTCCAAATGGCCATAAAATGTATAAACTTTTTAAAAAATTTATCTTTATTGATTTCAGAGAGGAAGGAAGAGGGAGAGAGAGATAGAAACATCAATGATGGGAGAGAATAATTGATTGGCTGTCTCCTGCACATCCCCTACTGGGGATCAAGCCTGCAACCCAGGCATGTGCCCTTGACTGGGGGCCCTTCAGTTCGCAGACTGATGCTCTATCCACTGATCCAGCTAGGGCTGTATAAACTTTTTTTTGGTAAACTAAACAGAAAGTGATTGTCTATCCATAAATAGCAAGAGAAAATTTGCTGTTTTGTGCTGGTGGG